CCCCCCCCCACTAACCACAGTGATCTTATGCCCAATACTAAACAAACACTATTAGACCATTTGCACAGTTGGACTTTGAGTTCAGATCAACTCCCTGAAGGATGATTCAAATAGAGAAACTTTTAGAGTTCATTTTCTGTAATTTGTATTTTCTGTTTATGCCACAGGGCATGCATGAAGATGCAGTAGACAGGCTTATCTTCCTTGCCAAAAATGTGTGGGGGAAAAAAAAGACATCAAGAATAGACTTACTGACTTTGCTTGAATGTATGTTTTAAACAGGACTGTTAATTTTGTTTAAACTAATTTTCAAACTAGCTTATTATGTTTACTTGAAGCTGCAAATATTTTATTTATATTTTCATTGTTTACAATGGCGGGACCTGCCATCTTGTTTTACAAGCATGATTTATAGCTTGTATTTAGTTGCACTTTGAAGTAAGGTCAATTCCCAGAAGGGATGGTTAAAAAAAAGAGTTTTTAAAAGTATTTTCTGTAATTTGTGTTTAAGAAAGCAAAGGAACGAAGCAAATCGATTAAAATCGAATTTAAATCAAGATTTTTTTAGGCCATATCGCCCAGCCCTACTTTAGTAGATTAAATCAGACATGAGAGCAGCTACCAAGTTGGGTACAAAGCAGGCCAAGGTAGATACAATGTAGGTGGGTGGGCAACAGAATAAGCTGCATGGTCAAAAGAGATTGCGATTCTTCTCAAAAATATACACTCAAATCATGACCACATAATAACCTTGTTTGCACACATTTAGAAATTAGTGAATTTAAATAACCAACTAGTACCTAACACTAGCTGCGTTTCCATTGACCATGAAAATATGCAAACTAGAATTTCGAAAATAAATTTACTCAATGGAAACGTGCCAATTTTGAAAATAATTACGTTTTTCGGCAAAATGGTTTTGCGCTAGGAAGAGGTGCTTTTTCGGCCATATCGAAATTTGCAAAACTGCAATGGAAGCACTTTTTTCACATAACAGGAGCCACATGATCAAAAACCAGCTGTTTCTACTGGCGAAAAAGACGATGAAGAAGAAGATAACAGGAAGTAAAAGTAGTAGTAAAATCACCGAAGTAGTAAAAGAAAGTATTAAACTCACCGACTACATTTTCCCAAAAACGCAGCATACGTAGCCGCTCCCAAGTTTAAGGGGCTTGTCACTCAAATGCCTCGATAAAAGACGCCGACGTCTCCTCTAATGGCTGATGATGAGCGCTAGTGTCTTGGTAGCAATATGCTATGTGTTTACATCCATTGCTGCCATGTTTGTAATGACTTAACGCAAGAACAAACATATTCACGCGTGACTTTAATAGCATTTCTTACTTAATGGAAACACCGCAATTGCAAAACTGTGTTTTTCGACAGTAACAGAATATCGACAAAGTTTTGTGCACATTTACAATAGAAACACAGCTAGTGTCAGCAGAGTGAAATGCTGTGGTATTTAGATTTCCTGAAAAAGAGTCTGTGCAAACAAGGGAGATGGAAACACATTTGGCAAATAAGTTCTAACGCAGCAAACATTTATCCCACAGCGGTTTCCGCTGTTTGTGTCTTTCTGGATATCCCAATAACATGTGAAAACATGGCTGAAAGTAACAACAGGTATGTGTAGAGTGACGGCATGTAACATCGTCATTACTTGTTGACAGAACAATTACAACTTGCCCGATAGCAGCACATTCCTGAAAACCTCTGTCCATTGTCTGAGATGTGTGTTCCCTGCTCGCTTGCAACCTCTACTTCCTGTTTATTACAGCAATGCATAACATCACCATCTGATGAAATTATGCTTTGCGTAGCCTGGATGATTTGATCCAAACCGGTAGATGGAAACACGCCTAATTCGCTTGTCTTTTTCGCTGCATTTTTAAAAGTTTGCTTAACCGCTGCAATTCTACAAATGCTAGTTTTAACTGAGAATAAATATAGTGCATCTTTAAATATGGATAAGAAATACTTTAAAGGTAGTGACTAACATTTGCTATAAAAACTAGAAAACACTTAACATCCCAATGATGCCTTGGTTGTTGTGAGTTATTACATCATCTTATTGTGAACAGAGGATGGAGGAAATCCAGGTTTTGTGAGCGTGCTGAGAAAACTCTCCCCTCGAGGTGAGAGAAGCTTTGAAAACTGAAACCACAGAGCTAAGGAGAGTGCATCATTGTTGACCAGCACAGAAATGGGCGTTGCTCATGTCAAAGCAATGTCGATGTGGTAGTTTACTGTGTAAAACATGGAATACATCCACCTTGAACGACACTGGCTTGTCTGACAGACAGACAACGTGGAAATGTGTTGATGGGATGAAGCACACAGTCTGCACATATATTACCAATGAAACTCTGAAGACATCTGTGTGAAGATGATGTAATAACAGGATAACAGGAAGTACCAAGTGAGATCAATAAATATTAGCTGCTGCAACAGAGCAGAGGCTTGTTAGTGAGCTGCAAAGGGGTAGTTTGCTCGCTGAGTTGTTTATTTTGAGCTGCAAACTGTTCTGATATTCTGCCTTGGGGAATTCTGGGAGTACGTCATTTCCTTTAATTGGCCATAATACAATTGTCCTGTTTTGCTTTCTTCAAAAACAGAGAAGTGTTTCACATCTTAACAGTGATGAATGATAACTGTACATGGAACAAAATATAAGCTCCTCAAATTAGCAGTGTGTTAAAATCACATTCACACACAGACATCTGCCAAAAGTGACAGATGAGCCCAGATCAGCTGTGTGCTTACTGTTACATTAATTCAATGTGCCCAACGTTTCCCTTCTTTACATTAGTGATAAATACAACTGGACCACACCGAGTGGCCTGCAATATGCTTGAAAACAAATCAAACATAACAGTGAGTAAAAATGCACATTTTTCAAGAGAAGGTGAGGTGGAGGGAGTGTCATTCTGGAGTATTGAAAAGCTTTATAAAAATAGTCCAAATACAAACAGTGTTAGTCGCCACTTAATATGCGCTCAATCTCTTCCAGTCTTTTCAGTGCAGCAGCCCTTTTTTCTTCAATATCTTTAATCTCTTTAGTGGACTTACCCTTAGTCTGGCTACTGTCTAAAGATCCTGATTGGTCTGCACCCGCATCTCTGAGGCTTTCTGCCGAGGATTTCCGCACATTCTTCTGACCTGCAGCCCCCTTTCCAACAGCATCAGCGCCCCTCCCTTCCTCTTCACCCACAGCCATCTCTTCTTGCTCTGGCTTCTCTTCCTTGGCTGACATGCTGGCTCCCTCTCCTGAAACAAGTGGCTGCCCCGCTGCGCTCATGGCTGCCATTTTGTTCCGCACGATACTCAAATGACGCCGCACGTACTCCTCGTTTGGCGCCATGGCCAGTGTTTCTTCAAGGCAGCGCTCGGCTCGTGGTAGGTCGCGCTCTTCAAAGTAAACCACACACAGGTTGTGTTTGCCTTGGACGTTGGTGGGGTCCATGTAAAGAATGCGCTCAAAGCAAGCCTTGGCACCATGCGTGTCCTTCTTGTGGTTCATGAGGATATCACCTTTCAGGATCAGGCCTTTGATGTGCTCTGGGTGGTAGCGCAGCAGCTCATCCAACACTGGCAAAGCATCGATCTCTCGTTTTGACTGAGAGTACAGTAAGGCCAGGTTGAACAGGGCGCTGCGGAAGCCAGCCTGGAGACCAATGGCTTTACGCATCCAGTGCTCTGCTGCCACATTTTCATTAGCGTCCATAGCTAACATGCCGAGGTTGAAGTAACCATTAGCATCATCTGGTTCTTCTTCTACATAGGTGAGGAAACGACGGTTCGCTTCAGGCCAGAACCTTGGCTCACCTATCAAAGAAAGCAGTAAACACACAATGAAGACATGTTTTCTTTATTTACCTACTGACATTCTACCACCTAAAGGTGCTTGCCAACTAACTATACTCACGAGTATTATGTTTGTTCACTAAAATGCATAACAAACGGTAACTCTTCACTTAAATAAACACTGAGAACATCTAAATAAACAAAATGTCTTCCTAAAAGAAATGTGAGAAACAAACACACAAAGTTGAAAGCAAAAGTGTTAAGTTTACGGGCATTAAAAACTGTTTGTCAAAATGAATTTACTTCCCACATGATCACTTTGCTTGAAAAGGACCAATAATTTACAATTTGATAATTCTCTAAAATAAATGTGTTGGAAACTTTACCGCATTTGGATTGAAATACAGCTGAGTTTTACATATTTCAACTTCTTGGTAGCAAGAAACATTTTAAATTATAAATAATTTAATCAGGTCATCTTAAACATTGACACTACGAAAACAACACAATGAGAGAACAATAATTAAAAGACATGTTAAAGCTGCTGCCAGTGGCTGATAAATTCACACTTTAGTCGATCACTTTCTGACAGAACCCTTAATTAGACAGGCCAATAGTAACAAAGAGTAGAAATAAAGCTTCAAATAAACACTGTCCAGAACCTGCTTTGGAAAAAAAAAACTTAAATCTTAGTGCGTAATCTCACTTTGATGCAAGAAAAAAATACTTATTTTTCCTCTGTGGACTCACTGTATTCAGTGTTTGTAAAAACAAAACCAGAGACTTGTGAAGCTGCATTTTGTGAGTTGCAGGGGTAGTAAGGGTTTGAAATGCCCATGATGACAACATGACTATTTTGACAAAAGATGCTGAATACATTTCTGAACATGTTCAAAATTAAAGTGACAGGACTATAAGCCACTGTGATGAGATAATCTGGATAGTCCCTCGTAAATGCTGTTCACCAACAGCCACAGCTCAGAGACACGACTTTAAGGTCCAAGCTAAGATAAGTTTAGATGTGTGAACACTAGGAGGATGAAAAAAAAAACGTTTACACTTTGGTGTAAAAAAATGTATCAAAGATACAAATGATTAAAAGTCTGAAGTTTAGATAGCTCAAAATTTAAAGTGACATAAAAAGGATAAAATCTAAAAAAAAACAATCAAGGTTAAAAGGTTTAAGTTAGTTATATACAGTGGGGAGAACAAGTATTTGATACACTGTTGATTTTCAGGTTTTCGCACTTGCAAAGCGTGTAGATGACTGTAATTTTTATCATAGGTACTCTTCAACTGTGAGTGATGGAATCTAAAACAAAAATCCAGAAAAATACAATGTATGATTTTTAAATAATAATTTCCATTTTATTGTGTGAAATAAGTATTTGATCATCTATCAACCAGTAAGAATTTTGTCTCTCACAGACATGTTAGTTCTTCTTTAAGAAGCCCTCCTGTTCTCCACTCATTACCTGTATTAACTGCACCTGTTTGAACTCGTTACCTGTATAAAAGACACCTGTCCACTAGTGCTGGGCGGTATACCGTTTTGTACCGAATACCGG